GGCAGGTTCACACACCACTGGCAGGTTCACACACCACTGGTAGGTTCACACACCACTGGCAGGTTCACACACCACTGGCAGGTTCACACACCACTGGCAGGTTCACACACCACTGGCAGGTTCACACACCACTGGCAGGTTCACTCACCACTGGCAGGTTCACACACCACTGGCAGGTTCACACACCACTGGCAGGTTCACACACCACTGGCAGGTTCACACACCACTGGCAGGTTCACGCACCACTGGCAGGTTCACGCACCACTGGCAGGTTCACACACCACTGGCAGGTTCACACACCACTGGCAGGTTCACACACCACTGGCAGGTTCACACACCACTGGCAGGTTCACGCACCACTGGCAGGTTCACACACCACTGGCAGGTCAACGTCAACAAACAGTCTAGTGGGTCAAAGGAATTATCTCCATCCCGGTGATAGTTATTTCATCTACATCTGTAGTGTTTATTCAGAACCTGAGACTAGGGTCAGAAGGTGCAACAGTTAGGTGGGTGTGCTCAGGTGTGCACGTGCACACACAGCAAGTGACACACCTGAGCCCGTGACACAACACTACCACAACACTGGCTACACTACCACAACACTGGCTACACTACCACAACATTCATCATCAGTCATAAAACAGTTCAAACAATGCAGCATTCAAGCATGAGACTGAACACCATCAAAATCACAATTAACTACCAAGTTCAGCATTAGCCTTAGTCATGGTGAGTGATCAGTAAGAAAGCCACAGTGAAAGTCTGAGTGTTAGTTGATCAAGAAGCAAAACACTTTGTCGTCAAATAAAAGGGAAGCTGAACAATAGGATCATAAACTAAATTAACATAATTCACTGAACAGAATTTGAATATGATATTATATGTCCCGCACATAGGCTAAGAGGACGTATAGAGTCATGTCTCCATCATAGATATATTTATTGGATCAAATCACTATCCTGAATTGAGAAAATCAGTAGGAGTCGTGAGGAGGATTGGAACCTATGCTCCTAGTACTCTCAAGCACATGCCTTACCACTACACCACCATATAGTCACAAGCATTGCAACCTGCGACTGCTCGTTAATCTAACCACTAAAAAATAATCTAAATGGAACACATTGCACATGGCACAAATGATAACATGTATTATTATAAACCCCAGGTTACATTGCTTTTGACCATGTCGTGGTGAAGTGGTCCAAGGCGTGTGCTTGGTAGTACACATAGCACAGGCTCGAATCCTCCTCATCGCTCTTACTGATATTCTCACTGATACATCACCTTAATAACGTATTGTGTATTAACAATGTTTGTTCTCAGTTATATAATAATTGTTATTTATGTTAAATTTCTATGTATGGGTGTAGGTCATGTTAGGTGTGTAGGGGTTGTTGGGGATTAAAATATTTGTGTATTTGTAGTACGAGGGTGAAGCATGTACAGCGTCGTGGCTCAAGCAGAAGTCGTCACCAAAGAACTGTTCGAGAAATGATGGAACGTAATGGGTTGTGAGTCGTGTGTTAATTGTTTGCCATTCACAAGGAGGCTGGTTAACCAACCCGTCCTCAGGCAGCTCTGGCTCATCAAAAAGGACCAAATACATTAATCCAGGCGCCAACCACCCTGTTTGTGAATGGAAAACAATGCTTCGCTGACCACCTCCGCTCGAATCCCACCTCTCTAAATTCTTCACTCACGTATTACAAATATCTCAAATTGCCAATAAAATGTAACCTAAATTAAGCCTAACGAATCAACATATTCTGGTATATGATAATATTAACTTATATTTGAGAAAATTCCAGTTTTGAATACAGAGTTAAAGTTTCTGTATGAGTCTTTAAGGGTTTTGTGTTGTCGGAGCGTAACATGAGGAGAGGTGTTGGTGCGGGAACTGCTGTCAAGGTAATCCCTGCTCCTAAGGCAGGCAGTGAGATGATCTTCTCGAGGTAAACAACCTCGATGACCAGGAAACGGTCTCATTACTTATGAAATTTAAGTAAAATAAGTATTGACACAAAGTCAATAATCAAATCTGATGTCACTTAACACACTCCAAAAAAATGAATCAAGACCCTGGAAATTGTACAAAACAAATCGTAGAGGAGCATCACAGGTGCACCAAAAATCGATGAACACAGAAAATCTATACCTCGAGACACACATCCGGAGCCACTTGGAACTAGAATCCAAGCCCTGACAGCATCCCTAGCAGTCTAAATCTCTAAAACCTATACCGGATGTTTCTTCCAGAATAAACTCGGAGTTGTAAAAAATCCAAGTCTACTTCAGTATAATAGACAGTGAATGACCACATTAAATCAAGAACTTTAAACTCCATCAAGTGTAAACCAAGGTCCAGCAAGAGGGACCTCTCACCCGCACCAGGCTACACCCCTCCACTACCACCGCCTCCTCTCTCACAGCTCACATTAAACCACACAAAATCAAGGCAGGAGCTATATCACTGACACTATCTCAGAGCCAAAGCTCTGGTCTTAATGAGCCACAATCTACCCCTCGACACACTTACATACAACACTGATGAATCCGTAGATCAACAATCCATCCCTGCAGCAGTAGCAGCTTCCTACTCCCCCTCCTGATCCATTAGCCAGAGTGACAAACAATGCCTCCACATTCCAGATGGAAATGTTTGCTCTCAAGCTGTCCCTTGAGCATGTATATGACAACATCACAATAATGTATTGATAAACACACAGACTCCAACACACCTGCAGGGGGAGGGGCAAGAGGGGATGACACCTGGTGAGTCGGATGTGTGGGAATCTGCTTCAACACATCACAAGAAGAAAGTACACATATTATGGACAATCAAATGGACTTTAATCACAATTTACTCAGCTATAATAAGTTCCAACAACTAAGGAATCATTTTCATAATGACACTGTCAGTGGCAGAGACGGCCCAATTCCTGCTTCATAATTGGCTGACAAACATCATTGACAAACGATGTTTGTTAATGACAAACATTGATATCATTGACATGACATCACAAACATGACATCATTGACAAACATCAAACTGACAAACAGGACCATGGTATGGAAGGGAGGACCATGGTATGGAAGGGAGGGAGGACTATGGTATGGAAGGGAGGGAGGACCATGGTATGGAAGGGAGGACCATGGTATGAAAGGGAGGGAGGACCATGGTATGAAAGGGAGGGAGGACCATGGTATGGAAGGGAGGGAGGACCATGGTATGGAAGGGAGGGAGAACCATAGTATGGAAGGGAGGGAGAACCATGGTATGGAAGGGAGGACCATGGTATGGAAGGGAGGGAGGACCATGGTATGGAAGGGAGGGAGGACCATGGTATGAAAGGGAGGGAGGACCATGGTATGAAAGGGAGGGAGGACCATGGTATGGAAGGGAGGGAGAACCATAGTATGGAAGGGAGGGAGAACCATGGTATGGAAGGGAGGGAAGACCATGGTATGGAAGGGAGGGAGAACCATAGTATGGAAGGGAGGGAGGACTATGGTATGAAAAGGAGGGAGGACCATGATATGGAAGGGAGGGAGGACCATGGTATGGAAGGGAGGGAGGACCATGGTATGAAAGGGAGGGAGGACCATGGTATGGAAGGGGAGGAGGACCATGGTATGGAAGGGAGGGAGGACTATGGTATGAAAGGGAGGGAGGACCATGATATGGAAGGGAGGGAGGACCATGGTATGGAAGGGAGGGAGAACCATAGTATGGAAGGGAGGGAGGACCATGGTATGAAAGGGAGGGAGGACCATGGTATGGAAGGGGAGGAGGACCATGGTATGGAAGGGGAGGAGGACCATGGTATGGAAGGGAGGGAAGACCATGGTATGGAAGGGAGGGAGAACCATAGTATGGAAGGGAGGGAAGACCATAGTATGGAAGGGAGGGAGGACCATGGTATGAAAGGGAGGGAGGACCATGGTATGGAAGGGAGGGAAGACCATGGTATGGAAGGGAGGGAGAACCATAGTATGGAAGGGAGGGAGGACTATGGTATGAAAGGGAGGGAGGACCATGGTATGAAAGGGAGGACCATGGTATGAAAGGGAGGGAGAACCATGGTATGGAAGGGAGGGAAGACCATGGTATGGAAGGGAGGGAGAACCATAGTATGGAAGGGAGGGAGGACTATGGTATGGAAGGGAGGGAGGACCGTAGTATGGAAGGGAGGGAGGACCATGGTATGAAAGGGAGGGAGGACCATGGTATGGAAGGGGAGGAGGTCCATGGTATGGAAGGGGAGGAGGACCATGGTATGAAAGGGAGGGAGGACCATGGTATGAAAGGGGAGGAGGACCATAGTATGGAAGGGGAGGAGGACCATGGTATGGAAGGGGAGGAGGACCATGGTATGGAAGGGGAGGAGGACCATGGTATGGAAGGGGAGGAGGACCATAGTATGGAAGGGGAGGAGGACCATGGTATGGAAGGGGAGGAGGACCATGGTATGGAAGGGGAGGAGGACCATGGTATGGAAGGGGAGGAGGACCATGGTATGGAAGGGGAGGAGGACCATGGTATGGAAGGGAAAGAATTAGGAGGAACTTAAGAACAAAAGATAAATATCATAGGAAAGAGGGGAGGAGGAGGAGGAGGAGCATGATAAGGAAGAGGGAACGAGAATAATACGGAAATGAAAGGAAGAATAAGAAGATAAAAAGGAAGGGAATAGAGGAGGTTAAGAATGAAGGAGGAGGAGGAAGAGAATAACAAGGGAGGGGAGAAGGAGCATAAAAATTAAAGGAAAAGGAGAAACAGAGAAAAGGGAAAGAGGAGCATAAGACAGAGGGAGGGGGAGGAGGAGCATAAGAAGAGGGAGGAAGAAGAAGAGGAGGAGGAGGAGCATAAGAAGGAAGGATGAGGTGCGCAGGGAGGAGGAGGAGGTCTGGGATAGGCTGACTGCGGTGGGCGGTCGGCGCCGACCTGCGGCTGCCAGCCCCCGCGGGCGGCTCAGCGTCACTCTGGCCGCCCCACAACACACTCAGTCACTCGCCGCCACTCTTGCCGTACACACTCACACACACACACTCTCCCCGAGCTCCTCTCCCACGGCGCCAACACACACCTGCACCGCCCTCCCCAGCACACACCTGGTCCGCCACACCTCGCGGCTCTCTGACCCTAGTCTGGTCTTACAGCGGACGTCACCAGCCAGTGAGAAGGAAGTGTTAGCGAGGGCCTTATAGCGAGGTGGTCGCAGGTGGTAAGCCACGTGGCGGGCGCGCCACCGCTGCCGCCATCGCTGTGTCGTCGACGCCTCCACATCGCTGGACCCTCCTGCCTCGCCGCCTCAGGTAGGACACCACTCAACTGTTACTGATAACACAGGTAACGCTCTCACGTCCGCTCACAGGTGATACCTGTGTCCTCAGGTGTGAGGTGACACCTGTGTCCTCAGGTGTGAGGTGACACCTGTGTCCGAAGGTGTGAGGTGGCACCTGTGTCCGAAGGTGTGAGGTGGCACCTGTGTCCTCAGGTGTGAGGTGACACCTGTGTCCTCAGGTGTGAGGTGACACCTGTGTCCTCAGGTGTGAGGTGGCACCTGTGTCCGAAGGTGTGAGGTGGCACCTGTGTCCTCAGGTGTGAGGTGACACCTGTGTCCTCAGGTGTGAGGTGACACCTGTGTCCTCAGGTGTGAGGTGGCACCTGTGTCCTCAGGTGTGAGGTGGCACCTGTGTCCTCAGGTGTGAGGTGGCACCTGTGTCCTCAGGTGTGAGGTGGCACCTGTGTCCTCAGGTGTGAGGTGGCACCTGTGTCCTCAGGTGTGAGGTGACACCTGTGTCCTCAGGTGTGAGGTGGCACCTGTGTCCTCAGGTGTGAGGTGACACCTGTGTCCTCAGGTGTGAGGTGGCACCTGTGTCCTCAGGTGTGAGGTGGCACCTGTGTCCTCAGGTGTGAGGTGACACCTGTGTCCTCAGGTGTGAGGTGGCACCTGTGTCCTCAGGTGTGAGGTGACACCTGTGTCCTCAGGTGTGAGGTGACACCTGTGTCCTCAGGTGTGAGGTGACAGGTCAGTTATGTCACTAATTGGACAGGAGTTATTTATATTTCATTCAGTGTTAACATAATATCATTTAGTATTATATTTCATCTTGACACTTTGGACATCTTGAGGTTATCTTGAGATGATTTCGGGGCTTTAGTGTCCCCGCGGCCCGGTCCTCGACCAGGCCTCCACCCCCTGGAAGCAGCCCGTGACAGCTGACTAACACCCAGGTACCTATTTTACTGCTAGGTAACAGGGGCATAGGGTGAAAGAAACTTTGCCCAGTGTTTCTCGCCGGCGCCTGGGATCAGAACCCAGGACCACAGGATCACAAGTCCAGCGTGCTGTCCGCTCGGCCGACCGGCTCCCGGCTCTACATATGTAAGGTCACTATATACAGAGGGCACCATGTAAGGTCACCATATACAGAGGGCACCATGTAAGGTCACTATATACAGAGGGCACCATGTAAGGTCACCATATACTGAGGGCACCATGTAAGGTCACCACATACAGAGGGCACCATGTAAGGTCACCATATACTGAGGGCACCATGTAAGGTCACCATATACTGAGAGCACCATGTAAGGTCACCACATACAGAGGGCACCATGTAAGGTCACCACATACAGAGGGCACCATGTAAGGTCACCATATACACAGGGCACCATGTAAGGTCACCATATACTGAGAGCACCATGTAAGGTCACCACATACAGAGGGCACCATGTAAGGTCACTATATACAGAGGACACCATGTAAGGTCACCATATACTGAGGGCACCATGTAAGGTCACCATATACACAGGGCACCATGTAAGGTCACCATATACTGAGAGCACCATGTAAGGTCACCACATACAGAGGGCACCATGTAAGGTCACCATATACTGAGGGCACCATGTAAGGTCACCATATACACAGGGCACCATGTAAGGTCACCATATACTGAGGGCACCATGTAAGGTCACCACATACTGAGGGCACCATGTAAGGTCACCATATACACAGGGCACCATGTAAGGTCACCACATACAGAGGGCACCATGTAAGGTCACCACATACTGAGGGCACCATGTAAGGTCACCATATACTGAGGGCACCATGTAAGGTCACCATATACTGAGGGCACCATGTAAGGTCACCACATACTGAGGGCACCATGTAAGGTCACCATATACACAGGGCACCATGTAAGGTCACCATATACACAGGGCACCATGTAAAGTCACCATATACTGAGGGCACCATGTAAGGTCACCATATACACAGGGCACCATGTAAAGTCACCATATACTGAGGGCACCATGTAAGGTCACCATATACTGAGGGCACCATGTAAGGTCACCATATACTGAGGGCACCATGTAAGGTCACCATATACTGAGGGCACCATGTAAGGTCACCATATACTGAGGGCACCATGTAAGGTCACTATATACTGAGGGCACCATGTAAGGTCACCATATACTGAGAGCACCATGTAAGGTCACCATATACACAGGGCACCATGTAAGGTCACCATATACTGAGGGCACCATGTAAGGTCACCATATACTGAGGGCACCATGTAAGGTCACCATATACTGAGGGCACCATGTAAGGTCACCATATACACAGGGCACCATGTAAGGTCACCATATACACAGGGCACCATGTAAGGTCAACACATACTTAGGGCACCATGTAAGGTCACCACATACTGAGGGCACCATGTAAGGTCAACACATACTGAGGGCACCATGTAAGGTCACCACATACTGAGGGCACCATGTAAGGTCACCACATACTGAGGGCACCATGTAAGG